CTTGAGGTTTAATAAGTTAATTAAATAAATTAATTAACTAATTACTAAAAAAACCCTCCTAAGTTGACTAAACATAGGAGAATGTTGACTTAACCTAAAATCTGAAATTTCGGTGTTGACTATGGTTTAGGTCAAAATTTTGACTTTATATTAATTAATTAAATCCTTAATTTAATTAATTCAGGGACCTAGGGTAAGTATTAATGTACTCCTAAGTCATTGGAACCATAATCAACCCTTTAGGACCATCCTAGGTTAAGTACTAGGATGTTTTTTGAATTATACTAGGTTAGTATAAGAATTTTGGTTTGACCCCTTTAATTTATTTAATTAAATGGATAATTTAATTTAATTAAGTAACCTAGGTTAATTATAAAAGTACCCTTAAGTCGTTATAACCATAACTAATCCTTTGGACCATCCTAGGTTAAATACTTGGTTGTCTTTTTCTTCTCAATCGAAATCTTGAATTTCAGTTAGCCTAGGGTACATACTAAATTATCCCTAAGTTGTTAGGACCTTAACTAACTCTTTGGACCATCCTAGGTTTGGTACTAGGTTGTCCCTTTCTCGTCTAAGCCAAAATGTGAAAATTTCCTTTGTTGTTTTGGTTTTAGCCCTTTTAAATTAATTAATTAATTTGCTAAATAAATTAATTAGGTCACCTAGGGGAATTACTAAAGTACCCCTTAGTTGATAGGACAATAACTAAGCTTTTGGACCATCCTAGGTTAGGTACTAGGTTGTCTCTTTAATTAATACTAGGTTAGTGTCAACCCGTTTTGGTCCTAGGTTGTCAGGTGCACTAGTGGGTCCATTTCGGTTATTCCTAGGTTAGTTAGCTATTTGGGGCAGCATGTTAGAGTCTAAAATTTGTTAGGAAGTTAGGACCCACATGGAGTGGTCCCTTATGCACGCTTTTTCCCCCTTAACTACCTTATCAAAATTCGGTTATGATTGTCCCCTCCTTTAGTGCTTCTTCACATGTCTTGCATATGTGCTTGCACATGGATTGGTTGTACTTTCCTAACTAACTATTATTTATGGTTTTTTGGAACGTTTACTTATTGTTCCAAGGATCCTCACTATGTCCTTGGGCACTGCTTACTCTATATGATCATTTTAAATGGTTATGTATTATGGTATTAGGTTTGACACTTTGATGCCTAGTACCTAATATATATGTTGGAGATAATTATCACAATTCATTTTATTTTAGGGTCTTCTTTGCAGGTACATTTCTAAACAAGCTTGGACTATATTTTGTTTATTTGGGTATATATAGAAATTGGCTAACACCCTTTAGCCATTTTTCTATAATATACCTGATATTTCTCAATATTGGGCATTGAAATGCCTATTTACCCCCAATACGTATTCTAACAGACTTACTGGCTCTTCAATAGATATATGATTTTTCGGAATGTTACACTAAATGCTCGAAAACGCTAATCAGTGATATAATATCTGAAAAGGCTAAAATTTACCAGACAAATCAAACATATCCTATTATCATCTTCTTGACAAAACAACACTTTTTTTTTTATTTTGCTTCAATAACATGTAGGCAAGTTCTACATTAAGATGCAACTCATTAAATAAACAAACTCACTACACATGACAAAAGTATCAATCAAGATGAATCAATTCAACTTCTAAGAGCGAGAGGATCATATTAAACTACATAATAAAATAAGCTATATACAAAGTCACAACACATAACCATGAGCTTAGGTGTCGAAGAGTAAGAATTTCTTTTTTAATCAAGCATTCACAAGAATGTTATGTCCCCAAAGCATCAAACAAAAAAAAGACACTTTGTTAGACCTAAATGGCTAGTACCACGACACTTAAAATGTCTTTTCTTTTTTCTTAGAAAAAACAAAAAAAAAATATTCCTAAAAAAATGAAAGACACTCTGTTCAAAGGAACTATCCTTAGGAAAATAACCGAAAACAAAATTCAAGGAACCCATCCTAAAAGAACAAAACTCAATAAACGGGAAAATGCACAAGTACATCATCAACCTATGCCCGAAAAATCAGAGACACACTTATACTATACTAAGGTCCTATTACCCCTGAACTTATTTTATAAGTAATTTTCTACCCTTTTTAGGCCTAAGTGACACTAGTTTGAAAGAAAAAGTCAACCAGTGTTGGGTCCACAAGATAGTGCCACGTAAGTCGAAAAGGGGTAGAATATTATTAATAAAATAAGTTCAGGAGGGTAATAGGATCTTTGTATAATATAAGTGTGTCTCTGAGATTTTGGGTATAGGTTGAGGGGGGTACATGTGCATTATCCCCTCAATAAAACAATAAAACTAGAAATTTATTGTTCCACCCCACACTTAAGAGAATGCTATGTCTCCAAAGCATCAAACAAATTTGAAACAAGGGTTAGAAAAAATCCCTGAGGCCTTTAGGCCTAGCTAGTAGCATGTTCTCTTTATTTTCATCAATGGTCGTACACATCCCACACTTGAGCTCAAACATGCCCCTTAGATCCAAATTTCGGATACTCCAAATTCTCCGAACCTGTAAACAACACACAAAAAATGACACTAAAAAAAAAGTTACAGCATAAATTGGGTTGCCTCCCAATAAGTACCTAATTTAATGTCGCGGCACGACACAAATAAATTCACCACTTTTCTTTTAAGTTTGAACTAATGAATTTTACCCTTAACATTGCATCAACTTTTCTACTCCTCTCAAGGAGCGGTGGTATAAAGATAAAAGAACCAAGTAATATATGTCGCATCTTATACTTCTTGGCCCTTAGGCGAGGAATGACCTTTTGTCTATATGGACTAAAAACCTTTAGAATGTAGGGGCCTTGTTCCTCATCGACACAATCATCCATTAGTTTAGATATTACATAAAAATGTTTTGAATGAGATTCCAGTTGCCTCAACTCTAAAGCAACATTATTTACAACATTCTCAGTTTTGCACTCTTTATCAACATCGATATAAGGAATAATGTGTAGTTGAATGGTTGAAATTCCTCTTTTTTCTCCATTAGTTAGTCATCATCCACATTAGTTGGCAATTGGGATTCAGACGCCACAATCTTTTTGTTTAGTTGAGCCTCTAAGTCAAGAATATATGAGTCAAATTGATCTATTTCTCATGTGACCTCAACTTTTCCTTCAATATGTGTTGTCATGTATGTAAGACCATCACAGATAGACTCTTGAAACTTTAGAAGTTGAGTTTGTTCGTGAAGCCAATATTGACTGTAAAATCTCACAAATCGAAATAGCTAGGAAAAAGCTTAGAAGTTGATAGTCAGTTTTGAAAAGAATTAAAATCTGGAAACTTTCTTAAATTAGGAAAAAGAGAGTTTTTTGGTCAACTTCAAATGATCATAAATCCTAGCTCAAGATGATTTTGGTGTAGTTCTGGATATGATTGGAAAGACCTTGGAACAATCTTTCCAAAGCTGCCAAGTTTACGAAATTTCGACTTCGGATGAGTATGTTATGCCTTTTGGAAGTTGGGATGTTGGATTAAGAAAATGTCCAATCCGGAAATTAAAAGGGTAATTTGGTTTTTTTACCCAATTAATTAAATTAGATTTTGATAATATTATTAAGGGTCTAAACAGAACTTGTCAGTTTTTAACCTTTGGAGAAAGGTTAGGGTTTTGGAGAAAGAACGCAAGCGAAGAAGAAAGAAAAAAAGAGCCAAGATTGTTAAGTTCGTCAAGAATAACTTGTGGATTTCGCTAATGGTGATCCCTAAAGAATCATGTGAGTCTTCCATAACGTTGGGTTCGTTCACCCACGTGTGAAGCATGTTTAATTAAATGCGATTTCATCCCAAAAAATAGGATTTTTGAATGTTCTTGAATGTTGTTCTTCAATTGCTTTGTTCTTGAACATGAGTTGAGATTTAGGAGTTCTTTGATGATCTAGGTGTTGTTCTTGAATTCGTTAGGTTAGATCCATGTATATATGATTTGGGTCAATTTTTTGGTCAATTTTTCGGTGTGGGGCAGACACTGGATTTCATTATGCTCACATGATCTATGTCGGTTAAAGTTAAAGTTCCCAAAGAAAGAATGAGGTCAACCTCAAAGTATGAAAGATAATGAAATGAATGATATCGAAGGTGTTTTTGCTAGACAATCAGGAGGTGAAATCAGATTCAAGTAATGACATTAGGTTATTCTTGGTCATTGCACTTCATGATCCCAATGAGATTCTTAAACTTCATCTTAGGTATAGCTGGTGTTTACATCAACCTACGAATGAATGAAATGAACAATGTGAAGTACGAATTAACGAATGAAGCAGACTCTGTGTTTGCTAAAGAAGGACCTCGGGTTGAGGTTCCATATGCTGGGTCCTCACTTGATATGTCTTATGCTACACCAACAATTCCAAAGTCTCGTGTATATGAAATGTATAATATATAAAACATGAAAGTAATGAAATCAATGGCATGATCAATAGAGAATTGCTTATGAAAGGTAATGAATATATATAGTGTAAAGAATGACTCACCATATGGTAGGGAAATCATTCCTTAGTCCTTGGATTACTTACATCGATTCATTGTGAGTATGGGACTACAATGAATCATTGCACCTGTAAGTAAAACATAGGACCAATAAAATTATTGAACTACACAATAACAAGAAGAAAAAGACTGAAAAAATGGTATAAGTGTACAAAGAGGACCTCTCGGCCTAAGAGGATCAAAAATCTCAAATCTTCACCCCAGTTGTTCTAAAATTATGTTGATGATACTTATGTCTTTTAATCATGTTGAAAATGAGTTGTGTGATTGGAATGCATTTAAAATACATCATATTCATACCATATTTCACAACTAACGATTTTGGAAAGTCTAGTGACTAGGCTTTCCAGAAATATCATGTTGTTTAGGAAGAGCTTTCTTTGATTATCCATAGCCTTATGTGTATGTGTGCATTCACCCATACTTAGTACAAGTGGTGTACTAACCCCTACTATTTACTACTTTAAAGATGCAGGTTAAGGGACAGATTGACAATTCTTGCAACGGTTTGGACATCAGCATTTTTCCAGACCATTTGGTAAGTCATCTTGATTTCGAGGATGATACAGTTTTAGTCTAGCCTTAGTTTTAGAAAAATCTAGTGGATGTTGTCCCTAGCGTTTCGCTCATAATTTCATTTCGAAGCTTTTGTAATAAGGTCGTGTTTAGCAAACATATTTATGATGTATTCTTATTCTATTTCAAATTGATTCTGATGATAGATGATTGTTATATTTATGTTGTGCTTAGTATATGATGAATTCATGAAATAACTATATGAAGTCTATGCATACTTCATAACTTTAAATGTTTTAAATTTTCCGCTAAAAGTAACCATATGAATGTGACAAATGCAAGAAGAGGCTTGTTTGCGACCCCTGGAGGTCAACGATGCCGGTTGCGATTCAGATTTCAGAATTCGATTCGTGACATGCAGCCTTTTGTTGGTAACAATATTTTTCCCTTGAATATTTTGTTGAATCCCTTTTTTTTGTGCAATATAGCATAGACTTATTATAAATAACAATTCAAAGAAAAAGGGATGGTTGACTTAAAAAGGTAATCAATGATAAATACATAGTTCTTAAAATCCCTGTTTGAATGAATGTGATTAAAAAAAGAGATAGATGAACAAAAAAAAAGTTACCTTGATGATGGTCCTGGTCCTTCCAAGGACATCGTGCACCTTAAAGCATGTAAAATATATGAGTTGAGAGTTACTATTATGAAGGAAAACTTAAAAAAATTGAAATATTCTTGAGATGATGGAAATTAATTGTGAAATAATTATTGAAGAAATGGTTGAAAATAAAGAGAAAAAATAATAATTAGTGATGAAGTCAAAAAGTACAAAGTGTGTAAGGAAGTGTAAGTCACTATGATATAGTTTTCCTACTTGTCTCTAGCCTACAATACAACCCGTTAAAGTCCTAGTTGATTCTATTCAAGCATGCTTAATTAGTCATGATTTACAAAATGGGCAAGGCTATGGTTCTTTGTGCATACATGTGAATTTTATTTGTGAGTGTAAGAGTTGTTCTTGATATGAATTCCTTATTTAGTATTCAATCTTTTGAATTGAGTGTGTGGAATGATTCTTCTAGTGAGGGCACTTATTTCATGATGGATTTATGATTTTATTAGCTTTCTTTGATGAAACTAGGTGAGCAAGCTTAAATTTGATAAGTTCGAAGTCTTTTCTTGAGGTTAGGAGGTTAGAGATTGTTTTTTATTTGAATGTCTTGCATAACAATTGAAAAGTGTACTTGTTGTTTTGAAATTGGTATATGGCCTAATTGTTTGCGTTAACAAAATTGATGACAAGCCTAGTATGATTTTTTTGTGATGAGTTTTAATGCTTACTTGAGGACGAGCAAAAGTTTCAGTGTGGGGTACTGGTGTGACGTCAAAAATGAATATATTTAATTATTATTTGCCTCAAATTTATTATTTATATCTGTCCTTTTTATGAATAAAATTTATGGATTGTGCTAAAAAGTTTATTTTATAAGTAGGAGTAAATTGATGTAATCTTGAAAACGTTTGGAGCAAAAATGAATTAAAGATGGAAGGTTGAAGAAGGAAATCAAGCAAAAAACTTAATAAATTAAATTGAATATAATAATATTTTATAAATATGAAGTGCAATAGCAAGTGAAATTCACTTTCAATACAAACATTGCTGCCACGACCAATGAAACCCTCGATTCATGCAAAAAAATAAGAGAATCAAATTCCATTTGGTTTTGGATTCCTAATATGCTTTGGATTCAATTATTTTATTTAGGGTTTAATACATCTATAAATAGTTCATAGAAATAAATATTAGAAAAAACATCAATGTAGAGGAGGAGATCAATTAGGAGGTACTGTGGAAGAGAAAGTCGTCAACACTTTGAGGGTTCTTTTCTTCTTGTTTTCTTAGAGATTAGTAGCTAAATACCATATTTCTTGGCCTATAGCTACGAATCAAATGTTGAATATTTAAGGCTTTTTCAATTAATTCTTGGTTGTCAATATAAGTTACTTCTATATTCTTGTTTTAGTATTTTTTGACTGTCAATCTAGAGATAATTTATTGTTTAATCTTAAAATCAGGAGAGGAGAGGTTACATAGACCAGAAAATATAGAGAGCCCAATCGACCCATTTGATTGAGGTGATTTTTGCTTAGGAGTGATGACCGGACGAACAACTTGCTTGGTTATGAAATAGGATGAAAAATAAATGCTCACCGGTTAGTCTATATATCTCCGCTTAACGATGTAGTTAGATGGATAATGAGTGTAGGTGACAAAGAGGTGTGCAGCCCGAGTTATAAAATTAATTTTATAAACCAGTAACTTGAAAACTAAAAGTTGTTCTAAGCCAATAATATGATACATGAGATTCAATACATGCTGCAACCCTTAATTTTCCAAATCAAGTTATTTTATTATTTTATTTCTGTATTCCTTTCTTTTGGCACTCTTAAAAATAATTAGACTAATATAATTTAGTAAAAATAGTTAATTGACAAGTCCTTTGGGTTCGATGATCTAATTCTTTTAAGAGCCACTATATTACTTTTGCGACCGGGTACACTTGTGTGTGCAATTGAGAGCAACAATATTTACATGTTATTTAGCTAGTTTTAGGAAGATTCTTAGAATGTATTCATGTTTAGTTGATATAAATCATGTCTTAGCCTTCTTTTTCGGTAATTTCAGGGTAATTAATCATAACTACAATTTCTGCATTGTAGTATTATGTCATTTCTAACTATATGTCTAGTTGTATTGATTTTGGTGACTTATGATTTCCCTTAGCCTAGATGTGGGGTAGTGATTGCCATTAAATTTCTACTTATGAGCCATTGTACCATAGAATCCTTCAATATTACTTCAGAAGGTTCTAGGTTCTTGTAGACTAATAATGCTGACTTGGGTTTAATGGTATGAATGTTTAGCTCGATGTCAAATATGATCTTACTGAAATGTAAACCATAACTTCCCTATTTTATGTGCCGATGTGTTTTATATTGTTATTCTAGACCTCCTTGGTTACATCAGATCGAAACATTGGTTTTGAGCTTTAGTGGGTCACTTGTGACTACAAAGGCGTTACCGATATATGGTTTATTTCTAGCCTAATGTTGACCTTGTGATATTGGAGTTCTTAAGAGTATTCCACATTTATTAGTTAGATTTAAATTTTGATGTCTTTGTTCCATTGGGGTATCTTCGACGTATCGTCGCTACGGTTTGAGTCCAGTGTGGAGCATTAAAATTCCAAATTATACATAGTCATAACTACGAATTTCTTTAGCTCTCCTAGGTGCCGTTCGGTTTACAGGGGTCCATTTGGGTTATTTAGCTTTCAATTTGTGCATGAGTGTACCTTCTGATCTTATACGGTCCAATTAGGTTATCGATAGCCGCTTTACGTTACCGCTTGTTCCTTCTAGATTATTGAGGTTTATAGTTAGACTTTCTGCTATAGTACCATATATATGGCTCTCAACAACCATCTATTTCCTATCTTTTCTTTATATTTTTTTCCTTCCAAGATAGTAGACCTATGATGCCTACTAGGTACCCATTGTTTTGATACTCTTGCTACATTCTACTTCTATTTTTCTGATGCAGATTTGCGCGCCAGCTGATAACATTTATTTTGGTGTTGCAACGTGAACTTTGGATATGGAGGGTGAGCTGATGACGTCTTAGTTCTACTCATCTCCATTTGCATATAGTTTTTGTCTAGTCTTTTGTATTCAAGATAAGTCCGTCTTATATAGGTTATTTTGTAGCTTGTACTCTTTTTAGTAGATTTGTACCTTCAACCACTTGTTCGATGAATGGATCTTGTACTATTGTATAGATACTTATTTCATTCATTTTTTTTCGCTGTCTATTTCACTATTTTGTTTTTACTTTTCGCTTTTTTATGGCTTCTTCTGGTATGTGTGTTACTCGCCGTTTCCGGATATGATTTGTCTTACCTACATGTGAGTTGTGGTAGGTGCCCTCATGACCTTGTTTTATTTTTACTTTTATAGTTAATGACTGATTTGAGTTTAGATCCCCCTTAAATATCTATTTGCTTATTAGTATTTGAGTTTTTTCATTGTTGTTCGTTTTGTGTAGAAATGAGAAATAAAAAGAATAAAGTATATTGAACGGAAAAACAAAAAAAAATAAGTAAGAAATATTGGAAACTATTTTTCCCCCGATTAAATAGTAATCGGAGAAGGGCATAAAATACCCCTCAAGTATTTAAATTGATACAAAATTATTCTACAATCACCTTTCGGTCCTAAAATATCCTTGCGTCTACCTTTTGGCCAAAAAATGCCATGGATTAGCTCATATTTGGCGTTATTTTTAATAGCTCCCTTAAAGTATAATTATTAATATTTTCCAACTATGTTGCATAATGTGATTGTTCCAAATTTAAAACATTCTCATATATATAATAAAATCGTATACAAAAAATATGGTTTTATAAAATCACATATGATTCATATTTTGACCCGATACAGTTTAAAATAATGTTGAAAAAATTGATTTCATTATATCTTTCTATTGGTCTATTTTAAATCAATCCCAGAATATTATAACGCATCTCACAAATGTGAATCTAACAAAAATTCATACTCACCCCAACTGATTTTCCATATTATATGTTTAATCATTTTTATTAATATAAAATCTTCTATCAATTATCTAAACCTCTTGTTCATTTTCTCTTTTTCCTTCTTTTAATCTCTTATTTTATAAGAATATCCAAGACTCAAACTTGAAATAAACTCACATATCTATATTCATTTAATTTGTCTTATTGTCAAGGTGTGATGAGAGTGGAGATAGGAGAATGATTATTTTATTCTTTTATTTTGAATTTGAACAAAAACAAATGAAAAATGTAGTATTCTTACATATTTGCTTAATTAACTCCTCCTGTTGACCTTATTATTTCTGTATGAATGTCACAATTATTTTCCTCCCCTTTCCCCTCTTGTTTTTCATAAATTGGAAAAATAAAATTATAAATGGTGGACAAGATCTAGATAAATTTTTTTGGAAAAGATATGAATTGAAGGGGTGGGAGAGGGGAGGTGGGTGTAGACAGTATATTCCTAACCTTTTATATATATATATATATATATATATATATATATATATATATTTTTTTTTTTTTTAATCAACCATGAAATTCAAAATCAAGGCAATCCTGTGAGCTCATAGTTTAACTAACTTCAAATTAATTCAATGGAAAAAGGGTCTGAAATTCCTTAAACTATAGGTTCGGTACAACATTTACCTCCATCCACCTTATGAGTATGATTTGTTAGATATAAGAGTATTTGTGAGCCAAAAGATTGACATCAAGGGTATTTTGGGGGGCTTAAAGTGGATGAAGGGTAGTTTTGTACCAATTCAAATAGTTGAGGGGGTATTTGAGGCCCTTCTCCGTATTGTAATTTAGATTTAGTATCTGAAAAAAGTAGAGGAATTTATGATAAAATATACAAGAATATAAGTATAGAATATAATTTTGATAATCAAGATAACATGTCATGCTCGGGTTTACACCTTCGGCATGGATGATACTTGAGATCCATTACTGGTCCCAAACTAACCCTTCACATGGTTTATTGCTTACCCAAAGACTTAAGCAAATACGAAACTTTTACTGCATAAATAAACTCAATAGTCTGAATTTAAACTCATCTTAATAAATGTCTGGAAATACTTAATTAAGAATGAGTAATAGTCTCAAGATCTCAAAACAAAAGGAAACATATTGTGAGACTCATCAACTATAACTTTATGAAGCCCCTAATGCTAGGATAGATATCAAGGCAAGACCCATAAAAACACACTAACAACAAGAAAATAAACGTGAAATCCTCCCGAAAGCTAGGACACTCACTAAAGCTACTTAGAGTACAAGTAATCTCAACGAAGCGCTTGTTGATGACCCTGAATGACTTTATATGCATCATAATTAATAAGATGTATGTTGCATGACATAAGTACGTTCAATGTATGAGTATGTAAAGAAAACATAATGCACAAATAACTGAACGGATATGACTGGAAAACTACTCAACTCAATTCAACTCGATAAAGCAATAATAAAAGAGGAAATGTTCAAAGCTTCATAAATAAATACCAAATCTAGGATGTAAATGAAAATACAAGAATTTACTCTTTATTGTTATTTAGGAGATTCTTTAACCGACAACCATCACTATGCGTTTTGTGATGATACAACGTCTCGCCCACATTGCCAGAGATGTCCTATACCTTGCCGGAGTATAAAAACCTCAAATAAGTGGATCCACTAATCTATGCTCGAAAGAAATAAAGAATCGTCAAAAAAGTATGATCCTTTATCCATGTTGGCTACATGGTTCATGAAGAATAAGACTTGTTTGAACTCATCCCTATATCGGTGCTCAGTACTATTCCCACCAAATGTATATACGCATGCTTAAGTGGAAATACTCTTTCCTTGTTTTGAGGTGATTACTTAAAATAACTCTTTTACAGAGGTAACTGCTCAGAAATATCCTGAATTGAGAAATTAAATTTTCTCCTTTCTCAATCTAAGAATGTTACATTTGGGATACTTAGTTTAAGATCATAGTTGATTAGATAAGCCTCTTTAATAACTCCATAAAACTCTTAAACTTTCCTTTTAAAATAAATTTAGTTTTGAATGTGCATTAGGAAGTATGATTAGGATATTCAGGAATTTTTCAAGAGTAAATAGAGCCTATATGAGTTAATACGAGGAAGGAAAATATGTCAAAGCTTAAAGGATCATGTATCAGATAGAATATGGAAAAAATTTGCCTAACACTCCTAGGTACACTAGCATAAAGCGCCAAACCCTAAACTTCTGAAGTTAGGCCTGGGTGAACTATTGTCGTAGGGCGCCATGTTGTTACTTCATAAAAGAAAATCTAGGTTTCAAGTGTTCTTTAAGGTTCCATAGATTTTCGTTGAGAACCTTTCTTATTTTTAGCTATGTAAGGATTCTCATAGTCTTGGACTTGTTTTTCCTCATGCCATACATCTATTCATCCATGAATTCATTATACTGAGAGATTCTTGATTAGTGCTTGATTTTAGTTTCATTCTTTAACAATGGAAGTTTTGAGTTTCTTGAGTTGTGCATCTTGAGTATGAGTTGTAATTTTTGAAAGTTGTTATATGAAATTTCTATGAATTCATGTTGGGTTTGAGAATAAAGAAGTGTTTATAAGAAATCACCAAATTCTGGACGAGTTAGGACCTTAAATTGAGTAGAAAATTCGTTGGGTTTTATGGATAGAGACTGGGGAGGTGCACCACCATAGCACCAAGGCATGACTTTAGTAATTCAGTCCCTAGGGTACTGCGCCACTGCTTCACCAAAGCCTGACTTCTGAATTTTAAGCCATGGGGCGACGCACCAGCAATGCGCTAGAGTCGCATGTTCCTATTTCTTTCCTTGTTTCATTACTGAACGTGTTCCTCTTAATAGTTATTCCGTTCCATTCGTTGTACTATCTCCTAAAGGCTCCAATAATCTCTGACAGATTGTATATTTCCTAATGAAATGTCTTTATTACATTCCAAACTAAAGTGGGTTTAAGAGAAAAGTTCAAGAGATATTATTGAATTAATTTCGAATTCTTGAGTTCCTATGCTTTTGAAATTCTTTTCCTAATTATTGAGTTTTATATGTTACGCATGGGGATTCTTGAGTTGATTTGATCATTTCTATACTTCGGCATGAACCCTATGAATTGAGTATTCTTGAGATGAGTAATATTGTTGAGTTCTGAGTATTGAGATCCCTGAGTTGATTCATTTATATATATATTTCAGCGTGAACCCTATTCCGAGTTATAAATCTTGAGAATCTTTTAAATCCAATATTATGTTTTAACTGAGTTTTTAATGAAAGTTATAAGTTATATTTTTGTGTAAAGTTTAAGATAAACTGAATATTCTCAAATGTTTCATTCTTATATAAAGAAAGAATAATATTTTGAGAATATAGAAATTTTGATTTTTAAATGAGCTTATGAGTTCACAGATATTTTAGGGTAGTTACCTCTTTTATGAGGATAGTATGAGCAGTTATCTCAAACTAGAGAACGAGCATGTTTTATACATTTGGACACGATTATATATTTATTGGGAGTAATATTGAGCACCGATATGGGAATGAGTTCAAATAACTCACATTCAAACAATGTAGGCAACATGGGTAAATGATCACACTTTTTAGATGATTCATTAGTTCCTTTAGGCATAACTTAGTTGATACACTTAGTTGAGGTGTTCTATATTCCGACAAGGTTAAAACAGTTCTGACAGCGTGGGCGAGCCACTGTCACGTAGCTGACAGTGATAGTTGTTAGTTAGAGAATATCCCAATAAGAGTAAAGAGTAATTATTGTATTTTTATATACACTTTTGAGTTGATATCTATCATTAATGAAGCTTAAAACATGTAAAAATTTTGTTAGTGCTTTTATAAAGAGTGGATTTGTAACACCACATAACTAAAAAGAACTAGAAAGAAGTTAGAAATTGGAAATAGTCATTTTTGGTAAGAATATAAAAATCTAGAAATTTGTTAAGTGAGTTAAAGTTAAGCTTTGATCAACTTCAAATGACCATAAATTCTATCTCAGATGAGTTTGGTGTGATTTCAGATATGGTAGGAAGTATCTTGGAATGATATTTGCGCGACTCCGAGTTTGTATGAGTGAGACATGACCATTTGAAGTTAGGATATTAAAATAAGAAAACATCTCATCTGGATTTTTGAAGATCATTATGGTCTTTTCCTTGACCAACTATTTCATTTCATATTTTGGGTAATTAATTGGGGTGAAATCAGATTTT